GAACCTGTAACAGGGAGACCCTACGGGGCTGAGCCTTCTAGAACTTAAAGCAGTACAGGAGCAGCCCCCACGGACACCGCTGGGGCAACAACCCTACATTTGAGAACTTGCAAATGTAACTGGAATTCTCAGACGGAACTTTTACATAGAGTCTCTGCAGTTTTCTGACGCTAAGCTGTTCTGAAAGAATGGACAACATTTGTACAGGTCAATAAAAGCTTTAAAAATGGTCGATCAGTGCAAAGTAGGCCTTTTGGAGAGGGATTTAACAAAACTGAACAAGTATAAGACTATTCGCAACAGCAAAAGGTGGAAACAACTGAAAAGTCCATCCATGGGGGTCGTCAGGTAAGTGATGGACATCCATCCACACGGCAGGGGCTCTGATGGAGAGTAAACGAGCATGAGCTCTGTCAAGTGGTCTCAGGACCCACGTTCACACTCTACACACAGAGACAGACACGCACACACACAGACACACACTCAAAGGCACACACACACTCACTCACAGGTGCACGCACACACTTACACACACACCTCCACACGCGCGTGCACACGCACACACACACACCCGCACGCATGCATGCGCACACACACACACACGTGCGCACACACACGCGCGCGCGCACACACGGGCAGAGGGGCAGGAAAGGGAGGAGGAGGCGCTTTCTACACATACCTCATTTTATAGTTTGATTTTGGACTCACGTAAATGTTTTTAGTTAACTTAAACTAAATTAATTTTTTCTTAAAAAGGATCTCTATATATTAAAATAAATTTTAAAAAATCCAGCTATATATCAAGTTGGTGCTATAACTACCCCGAGAAGAATTCTTGAAACAGGACAAAAAGAAACACTTAGAAATCTCAGACACAGCGTCTTGTTTGCGGCTGGCACCGATACCCGAGCTTCACACACACGCGTCTAACAGCCCGCGTGGCCAGCGGCACCAGGGCCACAGGGGCTAGACTAGGGTGGTCAGTAGTTTGTTATGTGCCGGGGGGCTGAGCAAGTAAGTAAATATACTGACAGTGACAGAGCTGGGTTTCTCACCAAACGGGCATGACAAACATGAGGCGAGGGCAGCTGGGTAAGGCCCATGGTGCCATCCGGGTGTTGGGGGCGCCGGTGTTGAGTCCATGATCTTGAACACATATGGACAGAGCCTGCGCACACGTGTATCACACTCAGGCGCGTGCACCGTAGCGCTCGGGGTAAGACCCCCAGGAGCAATGGGCACGCCCAGCACCCACATCCGGTTTCTAAACACCATTCTCGGCCCAGAGGAGCCTCAGGACTGGAGTGCGGAAAGCTGAAGGTGACTCTGGGACCTCCTGTTTGCCAGGCAGTAAGAAGGGCTCCAAGAATGACAGGAGCACGTCAAAAGGACACAAGAACCAGCTTGAAGCAGCTGCCACTGGTCAT